CCCGGCACCGCGCGCCCGGCTCCTGGACCCCGGCCCGGCACCGTGCGCCTGGCCCGGCTCCCGGCCCGGCACCATGCCCTCGGCCCCGCGACCCCGGCCCGGCCCCGCACCGGCCCCGACCCCAGCCAAAGAGGCCCCGGCCAAGCACCACCGAGCCCTCCCTCCCTCCCGATTTTCCCGGACATGCCCGGCTTTTGGGGATTTCCCCCCGGACGGGGATTTGAGCCCCCAAAAGCCGGACATGTCCAGGAAAATCCGGACGTATGGTAACCCTAATTTGGAGCCCAAAAAGCCGGACATGTCCAGGAAAATCCGGACGTATGGTAACCCTACTGGTATGACACTGCACTGTGTGTGTGTGTGTGTGTGTGTGTATATATATTATATATATATATAATATAGCGATTGCAGCTACACAGCCAATCAAGTCAAGTGTGTTAGCCTAAGTGTCATAACCATTCAATAGCCTAGAGAAGGTTATGCAAGTCCACGAGGGAACCAGGCAGCCCTTGCCAATAAGTGCAGCCTACAAGTATGTGGCCTGAACCTTCTAACTGGCCACAGCGGCAAAGAGGAGTCACAGAGGCCCCACTTACAGTCATTAGCAGCATCTCTTATCACTCCACGTTTGAAGCAATTGAGCTTTACTCAGGGATAGCATGGAAGGTCAAAACTACGGGGCTGGACTGTTGGATCTGTCACCACGAGATAGCCACTGGTTGTGTTTGAAGCTTGTTTTTACCATCTAATATTCCACCTGGAGGTGATTTTGAGGTTCCTTAGGGGAATTGTCCAAACAGGGCACCTTGTGCTGGTATGGTGGCTTGGTGAATTAAACACATCTTTAAACTAGAATAGATGTGGTATGCCTTGCACCTTTAAGGAGCAGATTCTGCAAGATGACTTGTCACCTGATGTCAGGAGGGACAATGTTGGACAGGATCAGCAGCCGGCCATGTTGGTTGGTGCCATGGTTCCTGTTATTAAATGCGTGGTTTCATACAGCTGAGTGTCTGCTGCTGTAGAGCTGAGCCATGCCAGGAAGTAATACGCTGCTACAGAATAACACAGGCCAAGCCCAGAGTTTCTTAGTGTCTGTTCATTGGCTCCACAGATAGACACAGTTAATTTGCTGATCAGGTTGTTTCTTATCTTTATTTGCAGTGAGGTCTTGATCAAAGATTCCTTGAAAATCAAGGTACAGTCCAATGTAACACCTATATACACAAGCTTTGGGTCATGTTCCACAGGGGTGCTGGAACAATTTTCATCGTGGGAATGCTGGCAATAGAAACCATGTATTTGGTGTTTATTACTACTTCAAGCCAAGGGGTGCAGCAGCATCATTGATGCTCCATGTCTGCAGTAATGACCATATGAATGCTTTATGATAATCTAGGTATTGAGTTGGTGATCTGTGTTAATCTACACCACTCCCATCACTCATCACAACTGGCAGTCATAACAGAGAAGCCAGAGACTGAACTACCATCCGTCCTGTAGAGACACTCCCTCCAGGACAGGGTTGACTCTCTGCTGAGCAGACTATGTTAAGGCTACTCTTCTTTTTTGGCATTTGTAGTGGTCTACAGGGATACTTCAGCAATCTGCTCTTTTGTCTGACGCAGGGCTCAAGACTCAGAGTGGAATGATTTCATATAAAATCAGAAAGCAATTCACATGCATGTCAGGAAATAGCCCTAACACTGAAGCGCTTGAAAGCCATTTTCTGTTTCCTTGACTTCTCTCCTAATTTAGATTATCCACATCCAGGTTCCACAGACATAATTCAAAGTAAATTTCCTTCTCTTTTAAATAATAGAATCATAGAATATTAGGGTTGGAAGAGACCTCAGGAAGTCATCTAGTCCAATCCCCTGCTCAAAGCAGGACCAACAACAACTAAATCATCCCAGTCAGGGCTTTGTCAAGCCGAGCCTTAAAAACCTCTAACGATGGAGATGCCACCACCTCCCTAGGTAACCCATTCCAGTGCTTCACCACTCTCCTAATGAAATAGTGGTTCCTATTATCCAACCTAGACCTCCCCCACTGCAACTTGAGACCATTGCTCCTTATTCTGTCATCTGCCACCACTGAGAACAGCATAGCTCCATCCTCTTTGGAACCCCCCTTCAGGTAGTTGAAGGCTGCTATCAAATCCCCCCTCACTCTTCTCTTCTGCAGACTAAATAACCCCAGTTCCCTCAGCCTCTCCTCATAAGTCATGTGCCCCAGCCCCCTAATCATTTTTGTTGCCCTCCGCTGGACTCTCTCCAATTTGTCCACATCCCTTCTGTAGTGGGGGGGGGGGACCAAAACTGGACACAATACTCCAGGTATTGTCCTTAGAGATAGACATAGGAGATGGAAGTGTTGAGAGTCTCTGGGTTAGGCTA